GTGTTAGCCACCACATTCCTGAGGAAAGAATCCTTTTGATTCTGAGGTTATATTAAAATATCGTTTATTAATTTTCAACGTTACTACAGCGTCTTATAGAGTTGATGTCGAGTCACAAATAAAAATGTTGGCGAAACGTTTAGAAGCATTTATAGAGGCCACTACAGAATTCTCAGAGGACTACCATTTTCTGAGGAGTCGTTCCGTCTGTCTGTAGCGACCTTAGAACCAACAGCAAGAACGGACCATCTCCACAGAACCTTTCCCGAGAGTAACAAGGGTCAAAAACGCACATAAAACAATTATAGATGAAATTAGCAACATTGTGTTATAATTGTAAACAGTACATAGATATTAATAAAGAAAACCCATGAACAAAGACATTACAGATCAACTCCTGATAACTGATAAGTTCTGTGCCTTAATAATTTGACCTATAAATTAGAATTCTGTCTAAATATAGTATATACTGACTGCGACCAAGAAAATCATAAATTATAATGATTATTTGAGGTGCTAATTAGAAATGAACCGTCATCTTTAGACTCATAAAACCCCCGACATCCTAAGAAGAAATGACGCTCGCTCCTAGGAAGACCCCGTCTGCAACCCAAGGAGTTGAAAGAAGTGTCGTCAAGGAAGTTTTTAGACTTTATAAAAAGGACAAACTACTTTCTGAATAGGACTGAGTAGTGGGACGCACAATAGACCTGAGAAGGCCGCGGTACCGTGGGACTTACCAGAGCCAACCACTAGGAAAAGTAAAGAGAAGAAGAAGACAGTGAAAGTGACATCTCTATGCCCTCTGCAGATCACAATCTTACTCCACGAGGAGTTTGGAAAACCCTGAAACTAATGCTACTAGATGGTCCATCTCTGTAAGAATTATCGCTTCATTAATTTAATCAGTTGCTGAACTATATTCTGTTTCTATGGCATAGCTTTGGATAAAATTAATTCTTTAGAGGGACACATGGAAAAGGTGAAGCTAAGAAGTTAGGGGTTTTAACATAAAAGTGAATTGTGCTATTAAAGCAAAAATATTTTACAATTAAAATTGTATTTCCTCAAAGCTATATTCATCATGTAATTAAATGTTACACTATAACTCGGTGTTCCAAATGAGATACCATTGATAGCTGAAAGAGGTAGATGGTTAAATTGTGAACAAAGTGGATAATTTGGAAACATGCAATAATTTTTCAAAAAAAATTCCAATCTGGCAACTATTCGCGATTTCTCTTAGAAAAATGATTATACAATATTTTTGACGGTTTTCGGGATAGCACTATCATCGTACCTAATATTTAACGCCTTGTATATACATATTTTGTATATGTAGGTATTTATTAATTCACTATATTATTGTTCAAAAGTTTCAATCATGTTATTACGAGAAAATTTAGCTCTAAATTTTAACGATTAAAAATATATAATTATGAGCCTGTAGCGAAAAATGTTCGTCAATAAATACATAATACTACTCTCAACAGACCCTCCCTTATAACACATAAATGACAACTTGTGGGAACCTTAAAATAAACTCTGATGAGGGAACAGAAGAGCTTTTAGTATGATTTATCTGTTTGCTATTGGCTGTCAGACGCTCTGCAGGAGACTACATTGGTTATATAGTTTTAAACAGGTGTTTTGGACAGGTCTATTCACATTCTGCTATCTCGTTACCATGTTAAACAGCACAAATATTTCAGTAAATAAAAACTTTATTCCTGACGTGTTGGACGTGATATCTGAGGTTTAGTGGTTACATCAATATTTACTTTATTATATGTATTGTTGTAAGTACATTTATGTAAACTTAATTCAGGTAAATAACTAATTAAGAACACTGTCCAAATAGCACAAATTATTCCCAGAACATACCGTTAATGTCCTGTTCAAGATGCTTATCCCAAAACATTGACCGTACGTCTTCGGGACGTATATGTATAGAGGGTATTTGTTTTGCAACATGCAGAGTTTCATTAGTTTGGTAGCATATATATCATTTCGGATATCCCTGTTAGGTATGTAGTATCCGAGCATATCCTGCATCATATTCGCTGCATTGTTCGCTTCATCTGTTAAATCATTTAATTTGGTAATATTTGTGTCATTGGATAGTTAATAAAGTATCACCTACAGAAAAAGATAAATCTTAGACATAAATCCAAAGCAGCTGAGGCACCAGCATTGATCCCTGAGGTACTCTTGTACTTAGAGGAGGCAAGTTGATTGAAGATTCTCTTGAGTTACAAATTGTAGTGTTGATAAGATACGAAACAATAAGATCAATACGATGCGTTGAAAAAATCATAAAACTGTAAAGGTTTTTTTATTTTTACTTTATATTTCTAATAAAGAATGAATCATAAAACTGTAAAGGTTTTTTTATTTTTACTTTATATTTCTAATAAAGAATGTGACTTGTTGATTTCTTTTTCCTTCAAAACTTCATGTAACCAAGTACTTTTAATTTGTTTTTCATAATCGTTAGCTATAATATTTTGTGTGATATCTTTAATAACACAGCCACACAAAAAAAGCATTGTCTGTACTTTTCATGCGACATATATTATCCGTAGTATGATTACCAATCCGGTATCAGAATTGAGCTATCATATCACAGGAATTTCAAAAAACAGGTCAAAAATAGCAAAAATTCACGAAAAAGTGCTAGGAAATATACAAACAATTTTTTCTCTATATTCAAATATTCATTTATATGGCTAAAACCCCGCCGAACGTCAGAATTGATGATTTTTTTTCTAACCTCAAAAAAACGGGTCAATTAAGGACAGATATCACGAATTTTCAAAAAATAACAGATTCGCTCCAAATTTGGTATACGAGGATTTTCGGGGTCGTTGATTGCGTATTCAAGGTCAGAATTGCGAAATTCATTCTGTAATATTTTTGTTTACTTTATAAACTGTTATTTTTTCTGTAAAAGATCTATTCATGGGTTTTCTGCCTATTCTCAGGTAATAAATTACATAGGTAATTGATTAAATTTTTAAAAACGAATTTTGTAAATCTGATTTTGGATTCGTGATCAGTGTCGCCGAAAACCCCCGTATTCCAAATTTGGCGCGAATCTGTTATTTTTTGAAAATTTGGTCGATCATCTTGGATCCGCCATCTTGAATTTTGCAAAATTTATCTCGAACCCGTGATCATCGATCCCGAAAACCTCCATAGACCAAATTTGGCGCGAATATGTTATTTTTTGAAAATTAATTGACCCGTTTTTTTTAGGTTAGGAAAAGAACCATCTATTCTGTCCACGGATTCACGTTCGGCGGGGTCTTAAACTATGTAAATGAACATTGGATATTGAAAAAAAAAAATTTTGTATTTTTCCTAACACTTTTTCGTGAATTTTTGCTGTTTTTAACCTGTTTTTGAGGTTAGAAAATTCCTGTGATGTGATAGCTCAATTCTGACACCGGATTCGTGATCAGGAGAGAAAAATGCTTCGGATATCATATGTCGCATGAAAAGTACAGATAATTTTTTTTGTGTGTGGCTGTGTAATTTTTACATTTTTTTACTGGTTTCCCAAACATGTTAATTTTGGAATAATACGGTTCTACACGGTGCAGATGGCAGCTAAGGTAGCTTCCGTCACGGTGGGTACTAAACTGAAGAGTACTCCTACTTTTTCTCCCTGGTGCCACTGGTGGTGTTGGTTGCATATGGTCAAACTTTCTCACAGCCTCAAATATCTCGTTCAATAATTCTCGTAACACAACACAATTTTTTGGAATTCGCTTTTGTAATTGATGATACCTTTATCTGTTTTAACGTCCATTACTCGTGTTCTGCCATCCTTGCCTGGGTACTCGTTTACTAAATGTCCCCAAATCGAGAGATTCTGATGCTGATACTGATGATGATGATGCTGTTGATGCTGATGAGGATGTGGATATAACCGATACTGATGACAATAATGATAATGATTGATGAAGACAATAATGATAATGACGCTGATGGTGAAACAACTATAATCGAATAAAAGGATCAGATTTTTTTCTTTAAAATACAATTAGTAATGCTGATTGATTTCCCAAAATACTCAGTAGCGTCGAAACCTTGGGGTTCTAACGACATACCTTAGTGTCTCTACTTCTGGTTGATATTATTTACAAATTTAGTGAATTCTAACCTGATATATTTATTTACGTCAAAAATCCAGATGTTCAATATTTTTTTACAGGTGTACAGTATGTCCTCTGTTAGAGTGAATAAGAGGAAAAGCCAAACTTTTTATCAGGTGTGCCTTTTTTTTCGTAAAATGTAAAATAAGAAAGTTACTCCTCTTATTCACCCCAACCGGTGATATACTGTAGAGTAAATTATGGAACAGCATGAGTCATTTCCTGGTCGTGTATTTCCCCGTTTTGGTGATCAGATTTGGCCGCCCAGCTATTTAACACCACTGGACTTTTTCTTTAGGGTTTTTTGAAGTATCAGATTCACGCCAACAAGCCCACTACCATCCACGCCATGAAGGAGGAAGTTGAGCGCTGCAGCAACGAAATTCAGCCGCATTTATGCAAAATGGTCATGAAAAATTTCTACAAAAAAGTGCGTATGTGCCAGCAAAGCTTTGGAGGCTATTTACCCCATATGCTATTCCATACATAACCCTATACTGTATACTTTGTGAATCAATAAAGAAATTACAATTTTTAATGAAAAACCTGTGTTTTCTAAGAAATTTATTTCTTGCCTGAATTTTGGGACACCCTTTACCTGGACGTAATTATTTATTAATTATAAAATTCTTAGATAATTGTTTGTAGACAAACATTTAACACAAATATGATTAAATTGAATCCATTATTGCAGCTTAAGTAAATCTGAGACACAGACAGAGATAACTTGTTTACTAAACATTTCATAATAAAATTATAACTCTTATTGCATTAATAACCCACGTGTCAGTATAATGGCCATAGTTCAAAATGAACTTCCAATAAAATTTCCTTGTTCTTCTTATCTCAATCAGTTTCTGTTGACTTAACTTTTGATACATTTCTCTGCGTTAGTTCCACTCATCACTTCGTAACAACAATTATTATCATGTACAGTCAAAAATTAAAAGGAATTAACAAAGTGAATTTCTGTAAAATGCCAGCACAAGTAGCAGTCCTAAGGCCTGTTTGCGCTTTGTGGAGTAAATTTATTTCGACAACACCAAGACGGTTTTCACAAGTAAGTGGTCGCCCCTCAATTTTTTTTTATAAATCAACTTTTTATTTATAAGTGCATTATAAAAAGTCGAATAACTCGAAAACGAAAACATTACGGAAAATCTGCCTAATGAAACGTTTAAAAAAAAATTGACATGGTATTTTTGTGAATTGTATACTGAAGGAATAAATATTGAAATTTTGGGGATATACCGTTTTATTTTCAATAAGGGTAGACAATAATTCTAAAATATCATTTGGTTATCAAACAGGTTAAAATTGATATAGTGGGGTTAAAAATTACTTCAAATAAAAGAAAGTTAATCGTATTGGACTTTGATAGGATTTACCGTTCGAGTAAAGTGGACCTTGGAACTGTTGTTTTAATACAACCCTGAAAACCCTAGCATCTCCATAAAAATGTAGTAGAGTCACCGGTAGTCCAATGAACTAACTTAGTAAACTTTTTTAAATTCATGTTCAGGAATAGAACATAGTTAATGCGCAGAGAATTAAATTTATTTTCAATAATTTCTCCCTCAAAGTAATGAATGAAAACGGAACGCGGGAAAACGCACAGAAACCATGTTGTGACGTCATACCACTCGTTAGCGGCTAACTCACACTACTGCGTCCCACATCTCTAGTAATGGAGGCATTTAGACAATCAAACATCGTTAAAAAAGAGCAGACATTACAAATTTTGATAATGAAAAAGATTAATTTTTCAATATGTTGACTAAATGTAGGTAGACTTTGGTAATAGAAGGGAATAAACGAAAATATGCTGACTATGACATTCGCAAATAAGAGTGAAATATTCGCATATAAGTTAAAGCATTCTCATAAATAATAATGATATGCCCAAAATATCAATTATGGTTTATTATGATATGGTGCAAGATTGAGATATGCAAATGTGTTGTTGTTTATTATTTATTTTTAGATTTATCCCGGATAGAAGAAGTAACATTCAAAACGTTTTTCCGTTTGCAAAATTATTAGATACATGCTTATTACGTACAGAAACAATATTTTAAAACAAACTGCCAGAACAAATACTAAGCGCAAATAATCAAGGCATATGTGGTGCGAGAAGGAGATACGCGACATATAACTAGCTCAAGTCTATAGCACGGGAGTGAAAATACCAATAAAAGTACTTGCTATAGTAGAGAGCTATCGGGTCCAGTCAATTGAGTGATGTGACGTCACAAATGTTTTGAGAACAGTGAACCGTTTCAAATATTTTGCGAATTAGATAAAAAATGAGTTTTGATAAACACAGGTCTGTAATTACTTTCAAAGGGCGTTGTGGATTATTATACAGGGCTGGAAAATCCACATGGTCCATCTGCCTTTACATGAGAGCGACAAAGTAAAGTAAAGAAATCCGTGCGATAGACAAGAATGGCAATAGTGAAGACGTTTAATAATCTGAATAGTCACCGCCCGTTTCGGGTTAGAACTATTCAGATTATGTAACGTCTTCAATGTAACCATCCTTGTCTATCACACGGATTTCTATGATTTACTTTATCGCTCTCACGTAACAGCCGATGAACCATGGGGACTTTCCGAACCTGTATACCTAGTCTTGTTTTCTTTTTATTTGCCCACATGATCATATTGAATTGGGAGTATTTTTGTATTTAAAACATATATATCTTCTAGTAAGTCTTTAGATCTATACAAGATTTTAAGATACATATAATAATTATACTTAAAACGTGTCTATGCTAGTATAAAAGTATACTATATTTTAATTGCATATTTTCCATATAGGCGTCTTTTGAAAAAAAAGGACTACAAGAGAAAAAACAGTCAACATTTACCGATAGAAGTCAACTTAAATATGCCAGAAGATTAGTAGTCAAGTTAGGAAGTGCAGTCATTACTAGAGAAGACGAACATGGATTGGCTTTGGGGCGATTGGCATCTATTGTTGAACAGGTATTCACACATACTATTGACTATGTATACAACAAAATATTTCAAATTGGATGAGAAAACAATGACATTGCAAAACACAATCGATTCCTTAAATTATTACAAAGTTATATAATTTACAGAATTTTATCAATATTACGTGTAATAATAATAAGAGAAATCAAATTTTCGTTTTGTTTTAGTTCATAGAAATACTATGAAAATTTTTTGAAAAATTCAATGTTTTGTAATTTTTACTTCAATGTAAGTTGATATTCTTTCTTACGCATTTTCCGTCAACTTCTAAAAGTTGCTCGATATTAAATTGTCAAAAAACCAACTGCATCAAATTTGATTATCACTACAAGGATCTCAGAAACTGTTAGAGATACAGAAATGTTTAGTTCAGCTTATATATAGGGTGTTTATATAAACGTAGGTCGAAATATGCTTCGTTTCCGAGATACAGAGTGTTTAAATTTTATTTATTTATTTATTTTTATTAATTATTATAAAGATATTGACTCGAAAATTGATGGTTGTATTTTATTTAGAAATAATGACAGCAATCTACTAGATAATGTATCAATAGAAATTAAAAATACACAACCTGCGATAAAACATTTTTTTTTCCTTAAAAATGATGCATCTACGAAAAAAATTGAAGAGACGAATTTCATTCAGAATCCAAAAAATTATTAAAACGGGAAAAAGTTAATGGCGTGCCATTTTTTTATTAAAAAAGGGTGCGGCATTCTCGCACGAACGCCACTGGCGCAAGTAGAAATATTCGGATCACCTCAAAAAATGCACATTTATCCCTCCAAAGCGTTTTTCAAATTTCGAATCAATATCTTTAATACTCTTTGAAATAATTAATAAAAACAAATAAAAAATTTAAATTTAAACTGCATCTCGCAAACAAAGCAAGCAAGAACATTTTCTCATAAAATAACTTCGGCAACCACCCCTAAAATATTTCGCACTTATTTACAAACATCCTGTAGATGTAAATGCCAATATCCTCCAGGAAATATAACACTGAGGATTACATTATCGCTCTATACTTCTCTGAACATATAAACAAATGTTACAGTATAATAATTGAAAAGAGGAAAATCCAATACTTATTTGTTATTTTCTTGTACTTTTTCAAATAGAAAGCCATAAATTTTACTTGCTCTCAATCTAATGAGGATTTTGAATTTCTGTCTGGAAAATTATAATTTATTAAATATTTCACAATTTAACTAACTTTCTGTCTCTAACAGGTTGCGAAATAACAATGTTATCCGATTTGAAACATGAATTATGGTAGTTAATTCACTATCTTTTTTCAAAATATTTCCTTTTCATCCTAAACTTAATTCCTTAGTGCTGCATATGAGTAGAACATGTTATTTTTTTATGTTTTTCGTGCCTTCGAAGGCTGACTACTATTTTTAATAGTCGTATTACACTGAAACGTTTTTTTTTATTTTAGGTTGCAGAATGCCAGAATGAAGGAAGAGAATGTATTATGGTAACAAGCGGCGCTGTAGCTTTTGGAAAACAAAAATTAACCCAAGAATTGCTTATGTCTCTTTCTATGAGAGAAACTTTATCACCCACAGATCATACTAGGGAAGTAAGTTGTTTCAAATATTCGAGGTGATCCGAAATTGTATCTAGATATTTTCCGAAGTAATAGTACAATATTTCCCTAAATCTTGTCCTGGCCTGCAGCGAATACTTTTGTGAAAAAAATGTTAAATAAAAAAATTTACGAATTTTCCTGAAACATCAGAATTTTGTATTAGATCGTAGTTCTATTGTCTTAATATCTCCAATTCTGGGGGTGAAATATGTAGAACTGATGCTGCGCAAGATTTTAAAACGTTTGTCCGCAATATTGATAAATAAAATGCCATCAAAATAACTCGTATCAAAATTAGCATTAGCAACATGAAAATTTAGCATATTTAAAATATTAAGGGCATCTATAAGATCATGAATTAATTTGTATAGACTAATAAAAGAAAATTTATTTAGCAATTTCTGTTGCGGAAGTCCAACAGTCGGTTAGACCTTATCTAATTAGAAGGACGTTTAAATAATTGCATTGCACACTTTCGACTGCATTACAATATTTATTGGGTTCCAAATGATAAAGCGTAATCAAGTTTGGACTTATATAATAAATTTGAAAGTTGAGTATCATCAAAACTCACTGAATTTAGAATAACCAAGCTTCTGTGCATACAAGACAATATCGTCAACATGTTTGTTAAGGGTTAATCTAAAGTCAAACAGATTATTTAAACCTTTGAATTCAAACGCCCCTTTTAAATATTTGTTTAATATTGTTTATTTTGTAATCAATGTAAATTGTACCTTTTCCTCAATGAAAGATAAAATATTACATTTGCTAATGTCCAGAGAAAGCTCGGACAATACCTTTCATTAATTTAAGAATACTTTGAAGTATTTCACAATCATAACTGTTGTCAACAGTTTCATACAATTTCATGTCATCATCCTATACAGTGCGTTTATGATGAAAGGAACAAATTCGTTTAAAATTCAGGTAATTATTTTGTGGAAAAACGCATCTCTAAAATAAGCGGTTTTCGTAATAATGACGTTTGAAATGTGATAAATGAAAAAAAAAATGTTTAATCACAATAACAATTGCTTTATAATAAATGTTCAATGTTTTGCCCGTTTACTTCGATACATTTTTGTAGTCGAAGGATTGTTTCCCGTTGAACGTTTTCAATTACCTCTGATGGAATAAGTCTTATTTCCTGGCGTATTCTCTGTTTCAGGTCATGAGGATTATTTGGTCTATTCACATAAACTTTAGATTTCAAATAACCCCATAAGAAGAAATCTAAAGGGGTTAAATCCGGTGACTTTGGTGGCCACTCATTAATTAAAGACCTCTGTGTCCAATCCATTTATTAGGGAAAGTTAATTCAAGAAATTGTCGAACAGCAATTGCAAAATGAGGAGGTGCCCTAACTTCATCTGCCTTGCGTACATCAACGCGATTGACCTCTCTTTCTAGGGCCAGTCCATAGTTTACTAGGTCAATGCGTAAAACTGACAAAATGACACTGACAAACTAAACGCCGGTGATAGTTTGGTTTTTATTGTCGCAAAATACTAAGTCAAAATGGTCTAGGGGTCAAGGAATGAAAAACGATTAATACGAAGAAAATTGTTTTGTTTAGGATAACATTTAGCATACCAGGTTGTTTTTGTTGTTTTTTAAAAAAATTTTCAAAGTTGCTCAATTTAAACATTTTATTTAATTACTTGTGTATTTCAGAATATCAATTTTCAAACGTCATTATTACGAAGAACGCTTATTTTAGAGATATGTTATATTATACAAAAATTGTGTACCGTACAATTCAAAATTGGCTTAATATACAGGGTGTTCCATTGAAAAATCAATACTGACAGCGTACGATCTTCTTAAGACACCCTGTATACAATTTTCTTATGTCAAAAAAATCCGCAACTAAAAATACTAATCGACGTGTCCGAGCGTTTTTCCACAAAATAATTACCTGAATTTTAAACGAATTTGTTCCATTCATCATGAACTCACTGAAGTGAATTTATAACATTTTTCATTTCTTTTTTAGGATGCATCATTGCTACTAGAACCCAGAGCAGCTGCTGCTGTTGGCCAGTCTGGTCTTATGTCTCTTTATGATGCTATGTTTTCCCAATACGGAGTGAAAATTGCCCAAGTTCTAGTCACCAAACCGGATTTTTACAATGAAGAAACTCGTAGAAACTTAATAAGTACATTATCAGAACTTATCAGTCTGAACATTGTTCCAATTATAAATACAAATGATGCAGTTTCACCCCCACCACAAGTCGATGAGCCTATTGGAGGCAAAGCAGGAAAACGAGGAATTTCTATAAAAGACAACGATAGTTTAGCGGCTATGTTGGCAGCTGAGGTACAGTCTGATCTCTTAATATTAATGTCGGATGTAGATGGCATTTATAATAAGCCTCCATGGGAAGAAGGTGCAAAATTTCTTCACACGTTTACTTCCGATTTAAGGCATACAATTGAATACGGCCAAAAATCTAAAGTTGGCACTGGAGGAATGGATTCGAAAGTTAACTCAGCCACGTGGGCTCTAGACAGGGGTGTTTCAGTGGTAATTTGTAATGGCATGCAAGATAAAGCAATTAAAACTATATTGTCTGGGCGAAAAGTGGGAACGTTCTTTACAGATTCGAGCGTAAATGGTATATTAATGAGTACTGAGGTCATGGCTGAAAATGGTGAGTGCCAATGCACATACTTTCATAAATGTTTATAACTCTAGTGGCCGCCGAGCATAGGCAACCCAATAGTGCACGACTGGTACTAGTAACGAAAAATCCCTAAATCTTGGAGTCACCAATATTAATGATTAGTTTACAAAGAACAGTAACAAAACGCTCGAGCTAATGCGGTCTTTGATTGGTTGAATAGAATCTCGTGAGAACTTACAGCAATCACAGCCAGTTAAAGAGAATGTTGTGTTTTCTTGATTTAGTTTATACATGGTGTTTTTTTAATCGATAGAGCAAGGCAAGATCTATTCGAATTTTGCAATGTTAACACAGCCACACAAAAAAAAGTTGGGTATACTTTTTATGCGACATATATTTTTCGTAGTAATTTGGCCTCCTGAACACGGTGTAGCATTTAAAATTACTACCGCCAGAAAAGTACTTAAAATTTGTAAAATCATATTAATTACTTTATGAATAACTAATTTTACAATTACAATGTAATAAGGTAACAGAAAAATTAAAATACTTGATAAGTGATATTGTAAAATTCAATGGAAAATACTTATACAGGTAACGGTAATAA